ATCCTTTAATTCTTTACTCTTTTGAGGGTGTGTATTACTTTTTTGTTTTTTGAACTACTTAATTGTAAATTTTGTATAATAATAGAAGCATTTAGGGAGATGTTTTCCCTAGCTTTGGCTTTATTTATAGATTTTGAAATGTAGTATTCTCTTTATTGTTTCTCTTAATAGTTGATTTTCAGTTTTGATTCCTTCAGCCTGAGTTAATTTAGTCAGTGTGTTGTAAGGAAGAGATCCACCTATGGTCTCTCAAGTAAAAGGGATTTAATTATAGGGAAAATGTGAATTCACAGGGATACAGTGCTAGGAACTAAGGCCTTCTATGACCTCTGAAATGGGCAGAAGTTAGGAATTGGAGTATCTTTCTAATTTGTTGCATAGTTTCTCTTATGGGTTGGTCAGTCCTTTGATGTATTGATTATATATCTGGTGGCTTTTCTTTATCCATAACTACTTATAAGTGAAGATGTAAATTGTTTTAATATTATAATTGGGATAGGCAGTGTTAATAATGTGATCTATCAGTTTCCATCAGCAGTTCCTTTCCTTACCTTATATTATACATCCTAGCGGATGGAGTATCTATTTACAAAGTTTGTGCTGATCTTTACCATGACTTCCAACCTATTAGAACTTCCCCAAATTCCAGACTGCTTGTGCAATTCCAATCTTATATTTAAGAGCTAAGAGCAGTCTCACGGAAATCTTTTTACTCATTGGTTATTGCATGTAACCATCATATTTACTTCCTTAATGAGGTTTTCTAAATATAGCACCTTCAGCTTACCTTCACTCTTATGTGATGTTCCAATTATATGATGACCCAGCTTTAATTTTTTAAATAATATTGTTGTTACTTAAATTTGATAAAGAAACAAGGTTGATTTAAAGTCCTAGTCTTTTTTTTTTTTTTTTTATGTTTTTTCTTTTTTAAGATTTTATTTTTGCGAGAGGGAGAGAGCACACGGGTGAGCACGAGCAGGCGGAGGGGCAGAGGGAGAAGCAGACTCCCTGCTGAGCAGGGAGCCCAATGTGGGACTTGATCCCAGAACCCTGGGATCATGACCTGAGCCGAAGAAGGCAGACGCTTAACTGACTGAGCCACCCAGGTGCCCCAAAAATCATTTCAATTTATATTTTCAATTTATATTATCTTTTGTTTAGAAATCCAGATTGTTTATTTATTTTTATTTTTTTTTTTAGAGGAAGTTTTTTTTTTTTTTTTAAGATTTTTATTTATTTATTTGAGAGAGAGAATGAGAGAGACACATGAGAGTGGGGAGGGTCAGAGGGAGAAGCAGACTCCCCGCCGAGCAGGGAGCCCGATGCAGGACTCGATCCCGGGACTCCAGGATCATGACCTGAGCCGAAGGTAGTCGCTTAACCAACTGAGCCACCCAGGCGCCCGAAATCCAGATTGTTTATATATCTTTTTAAAAATCAGTCCTGCCAACGTATTTCTGTCTGGTTCATAGAATTTCCTTAAAATCAGTTAGCAAGCATTTATTGAGAAATTCTTTTGTGTAGAACATATAGCAATTGTCACTGAAGTATTAGAAGACAGACTTTGGGAGACAGCAGGATGGACTGGATAAAGTCCACTTGGAAAAAATTATACTAAAGATACAGATACTGGAGGTTGGTGGAGAACAGTAGCTGAAATCCCTTCTTGGTGGGGATAGCAGGCTAAGCACCTTACCTGGTGACAGCTGAAATTTGGTTGAAGACTTAGTTAAGGTGCTGCCTATGTTTGCTTTTTAAGAAGAAATGGGATCCAGCAAGGTTGCCAAGAAAAACATAGTCCTAGAATTTGATTTAGTAAGCTCCCTAGAGAAGGGAGTATCTTAATAGTGAATCCTCAAAAGAGGAGAGTTTTGTTGTTAGGTGTTTTTGAATATAAAGAGGATGACCAGAGGGATGAAGTGACTTTTCCAGTATCCTGAGTCTGGATGCCAAGACTTGACCTACATGTGACTGTTGATTGCTGTTGTGAAATTTCCCATGGGGCTTCGTGGGCTCACAGCCGCCCCTTTTCAGTGGTACTTCATCTTTGCAGCATTTTGCAATACAGAGACCATCCTTGTCTGCTGTCCTTTCCTTTGCCCTTCCCTAAACTGGAGGATTTCTTTTTGCTTCAGAATGTCCTGATTCTGCATTCATGTTGAGAGCCCTTATCTCTTTTTTCCTTTTTGTTTGTATATTTACAGTAGCTAATAGGGCCAGTTGCATTAGCATTCTTTGCCAAATAAAGTTATCATTGGAAATAAGTGGTATGAGACCTCCCAGAAATTCCATTTTGAGAGCCAAGCGTAGGGTGACTTTGTGTTCTTTTTTGTCATTTCTGAAAACAAGTCTCCTTAAAACAAAGAATAATGTGAAAATAAGTAGAAGGAGGGAAGCAAAGTAATAAATTCTGAGTTAAATTTCTTTAGAAAATATCCCGGATGTATTGTATCTGTTTGACTGCCTATGTTAGTGTTCTCATGATTTAATGTTGCTTACGCTACTGTAGTATAAGCCAACTTCAATTGAAGTATTAGGATTGGGGACTTTGGGAAAGACGCGTTGTGTTCTTGCTTGGCAAGACACTTGAGAAAGCTGTCATTCATAGTCCTTTTTCTGCATGAAACCTTGAGTAAATTGTAACATCTTGACATAGGCCAAGAATTTTCTTGTTTTTCATCTTTGTTGTCCATAGCATTGGGATAAGATAGATAAAGTCTTCATTTTAACACATGGAGGAAATGAAGCAATTTGAAGTGTAATGACCATGCGTTGTGCTGTATGTTGCTATTAGAGTGTGATTTAGAGCTGCACTGTCCAGTGTGGTAGCTGCTGGCTGCGTGAGGCTCTGAAGCACTTGAAATATGGTTAGATAGGCTCCAAGTGTAAAATACACTGGATATTGAAGACTTAGTATTAAAAAATGTCTCATTGACACTTTCAAAAAATGGTGCTTTTTTTTATGATTTATTTATTTATCTTAGAGAAAGAGCAAGTGTGCACACATGCGGGGGGAGTGGCAGAGGGAGAGGGAGAGAGAGAATCTCAGGCAGACTCCCCACTGAGTGAGGAGCCCAACATGGGGCTTGACCCTACAACCCTGAAAATCATGACCTGAGCTGAAACCAAGAGTCGGACGCTTAACTGAGTGAGCCTTGCAGGCACCTCAGAAAAGAGGGATTATTTTTTTTTTTAAGATTTTATTTATTCATTTATTTGAGAGAGAGAGAGAGCACATGAGAGGGGGGAAGGTCAGAGGGAGAAGCAGACTCCCTGCCGAGCAGGGAGCCCAATGTGGGACTCGATCCCGGGACTCCAGGATCATGACCTGAGCCGAAGGCAGTCGCTTAACCAGCTGAGCCACCCAGGTGCCCAAGATGGATTATTTTTAAATCACAAAAATCGGTTACATGTTGAAATAATACTTTTGATATATTGGATTAAATAAAGCATATTAAAATTTTAACTTTTAATGTAGCTAGTAGAAAACTTACGGTTAAATATGTGGTTCCTTTTTCTACTGGACAGTGCTAGTTGAGTATGAAAAATGGTTGCTAGAATTACAACTTAATGGTCTCTGACTTGTATAATATGAGATGTGGAGGCACAGTATATGAGATAGAATTATGATACAGCTGTACATCCAGATTACTTTGATATATTTAAATTTGTTTGCTTTTTAGAAAACTAGCAAGTATTATTCCTGACTACTATTTAAAAGTCATTGCTTCAGGGCTATCAATGAGACTTAAAAGTGCAGAACAGAGGACTTCTTTGACTCGGTACCAGCTGTAGGTTTTGCCCCTGCAGACCTACCAGCTTGAGAAGGAATCCCACGTAGCTCTGGAGTGTTAGCTCAGAGAGGAGGGGTGGGCAAAGTTTCCTTAGGGTCAGTTCCAGGTCTTGTTCTTCTTTCTGACTAGATGGGGCACTTGTGTACAAGTAAATCTGACCCAAGTGTGGTTTAACCTCCCAAGTTCTGAAACTCATCAAGTAGGTGGACTTAAGAGACAGCAAATAGTTAAAAGTATTTGCTAGGTTTTGTTGAATAAATAGATGGTGAAATGTGAAGCAAGAACCGCATATAACCTTCATTTTACACCCAAGAACAACAAACAACATTTTTCTCATCAGCTGTGGATTTCACTTGTTTTAGAAGTATGCTAAATAAGATGTATGTGGTTTTTAGCTTTAATATTTAAAAATAACTTACTTTCTTATGTTGTCTGTTCCTTAATAATTTGAGTTGGGGTGAAAAATTCATTGGATTTTTGGATCACAATTTTGTCTTGATTTTGTAGATTTACTATTTAGCATTGGAAGTTATGCATATAATTTTGCAAAAATCAAATTTTTTGTTTGGTCAATTTATGACAGTACTGTAACAAACATTACGTTGTGTGTTGATAGGGCTTAATTTTGAGAAGGAAGTTTTCATTGGTTATAAATTTCATAGTCATAAAGCAAATAGGGGTTTACACTTGAGCATCATCAGATAATGAGGTGGTTAGTAGAAACTGATAGACCATAGATTATCAAAATTAATAATACAGCAAACCATAATTAATACCATAACTTTAATGTAACTTGGGTGGGCAGTGGCTCTATAAATAGGATCAATTCTTTTTTTTTTTTTTAATTTAAGTTATTTATTTGAGAGAGAGAGAATGAGATAGAGCATGAGAGGGGGGAGGGTCAGAGGCAGAAGCAGGCTCCCTGCCGAGCAGGGAGCCCGATGCGGGACTCGATCCCGGGACTCCAGGATCATGACCTGAGCCGAAGGCAGTCGCTTAACCAACTGAGCCACCCAGGCGCCCTAAATAGGATCAATTCTAAGTGGTATGTGAAAATGCTGGGTACTAGCATATACCAGGTGATAAAATGCTGGTAAAATTGGATTTTACAGTATATTTTAGATGGGGTTTTTATATGCTTGAGGGGATTCTTGGCTTATGTCCTTTTTTTTTTTTTTTTTTTTCCTTCTTCTTTCCTTTTAGAATATGGTTTCTAGCTTTAGGGTTTCTGAACTACAAGTGTTACTAGGCTTTGCTGGACGGAATAAAAGTGGACGCAAGCATGACCTCCTGATGAGGGCGTTGCATTTACTGAAGAGCGGCTGCAGCCCTGCGGTTCAGATTAAGATCCGAGAATTGTACAGACGCCGATACCCACGGACTCTGGAAGGACTTTCTGATTTGTCCACAATCAAATCTTCGGTTTTCAATTTGGATGGTAGCTCATCACCTGTAGAACCTGACTTGGCCGTGGCCGGAATCCACGCGCTGCCTTCCTCGTCAGTTGCACCGCGCTCACCGGCCTCTCCTGTTGGTTCTGTGCTGCTTCAGGATACTAAGCCCGCGTTTGAGATGCAGCAGCCGTCTCCCCCAGTTCCTCCTGTCCATCCCGACGTGCAGCTAAAGAACTTGCCCTTTTATGATGTCCTTGATGTTCTCATCAAGCCCACGAGTTTAGGTAAGTGTAGAGAAATTAGTTCCTTCCAGCTAAGAGAATACCTAAAACAAGAGGCCTTCGACTGGTGATTAATGATTTGCTGTTAATACTCTAAAATTGAGACATTAATGCCAAACAAATGCCAGATAAAAAATACTGGCAACACGAATGAAATCTAGCATCGAACTGCTAATTGATCATACCAGCATTTTTATGGCTTAGAACTCCGATTACTTCTGTGTGTGTGGGAACAGGTACAAATATTGCTTGCTGTCTGCAGTTTGTGTTTTGGTATTTTTACAGAGATTTAGTTTCTGTTTAACATAGTGTTTAAACTGCTTTCCTAAGAAATAAACGTTTTATACTTAATTTGACACACGGAGTTTGACAAACGTATTTAGCTTTTTTAATATCTGACAAGTGCTCAGAAAATGTAATCAATTTTATCATTACCAAAAATTGATACATGGGGCTTTAACAAATTCTTACCTACATAATGGCTTCTTTGTTACGGTATGATTTCTTATTGCCTAATGAAATTATTTACAGAGGTATTTGGAATTTTTGATGAAATAAATTGTTTAGGGAATGGCATTTCATAGTTAATTTGGGAGTTTTTTTTTTTTTTTTCCTCATCCTGGGAAAACTCTTTTTATTTCAGGTCATTTGAGAACACTCTTAAATATATCAATATGTTCTTTTCCTTTTGTAGAGGATTATGCTGCTGTGTATCTTGGTTGAGCCAGAAGGAAATTTTGAGGGGTAGGACTGGGGATAATGGAGTCAGTATGGCCTGATTGATGGCAGGCCACGGTGGCTGTGCTTTTCCCAGCCCCTTTTTCCTTGCTTTAAATGTTTTAATTTAGCAATACTTAGGCAGGTAGAGTAATGCATTTTATCCCTTCATTATATTCATCATGAAGTAAGGATTATGTTCACGTTTTATTATTTGTATAAAGTTCTAGGAGTAGAACTACTGCATCAAAGAGTAAGAACATTTAATTTTAGATTCTTGATAACATGTTGCTGAAGTTTCCAGAAGAGCTCTGCCAGTTTACATTACAGGAACAAAGTGAGAGAATGTCTCTCATTGCCTTTCTTCCTGCCTTTATTAGGTGTTATTAAAAACAAATCTTGGTGATTTTGACTGGTGAAAGCTTGTATCTTGTTTAGATTTTTTTGTTTTTAAAATTAATAACTGGAGCAAACATTTTTAAATGTTTATTACCCTATTGCCTTTCTTTTGTGCTTTTACTTTCATCTTTTTTTTTTTTTAAACAGGTTCATTTATCTGGTTAAAATGGTTCCATAATTCTTTTTATTTCTATCTTTGTCATGGTTTTTGGTTTATACCAGTGGACCATATCATGGCTCATTCCCATGTTTCTTTCTCAGCAGTTATTGCAAATTTATTTATTTTCTTTTTGTGTGTATTTTGAGAAAGATTCAGACTGGTAATATGCTTAGGTGCCCCTACCTCATGGGACTCCTCAGGAGTATGGCTAAGGTGAGGCTGGAGAAGGTGTAAGAGGGCCTGTGGGGTTGTAGTTACAGTGGAAGGGACTGAAAAAGACCTAGTTGCGTGCCTCCAAAGGAGATGCAGCCATGTGTCTTCTCTACTCATTAGCATCAGTGGTGCACCAGGCTTTGTGATTTTCTTTCCTTATTTCCCTGCTTAGTTCAAAAATAGAAACTGGAGTTTTCTGCTTTTCTGTATTTCATAGAGTTTCTCTTTCATTACCTCCATAAGGTTAAAGGAGAGTAGTAGGCTTTTTATAAGTTTACTAAAATAAAATTTTCCTATCTCATTTCACTTAGATAAAATAATTTTGTATTTTGTGTTGAAGAGTGGCTATGGCCTTTTGCTCATAGTTTAAATTAGAATGTAAGAGATAGCATATGACCTTAGGGCTTATGAAATAACTTTTATCCCTGAGCTAAAAACTCTCTATACATATGTTTTTCAAGAGTCCTGCCTGTCATTGTTTTTATGAATTTATAAACTGATTCTTGTTTTAAAACAATAAACATTTCCTTATCTTGCTTCCCCTAAGGAGAAAAAGAAAAGAATTTTCTTAATGTATGTAATCTTGTTTTGTCAGATTCATAAAAGCAGTGATCTAAGAAATGCTCTTTTAGACTTGGAGGTAAAAAGTTAGAAAATCCACATCAGCATGTAGTCTGCCAAATGAAAGTAGAAAAAATTTAATCATTTCCAGTAATGACCTTTAATTGAAAACTTTCAGTGTCACCGTGTCTAAAGCAATGTAATGACATCCAGAAGTTTCCTTAATTTTTTATTGTTTTATAATATTGAAAATACACAAAAATAGAAATTCTGGGGAAGTCTGTTTGGAATCCTGCTATAGAGAAACCTGTTTACATTTGGAGATTGAGAATTAAAAATCCTCAGGAGTCAAAAGAGATATCAAATCCATATTTCAAAGCACATATTCTTGACATCTGCAAGCCAGTCTGTGTATTCTTGATTTTATATACAGTTGATTAGATGATTTCTAAGCCATCAACATATTGTTAAGTAGGAATTGATTGACAACATGAGAGAGACTAGAAGAGCCATGGTAGAAAAAATAGACACAAGAGGTCAAAAAATGTTACTCCCAAACCTCTTGGTATATTGAAACCAATAGCCCCTTAGTAGTGAGGGAGTTGCTGTTACATCATGGCCCATGTACTGATGCTAAAAAAAGAACCCAAGAAACAACCATGATGTATATATTCTATTAAAAGAGATACATTGTAATACAGTTTTCTAGTTTGGAATTATTTCTATTCAAAATGGTTAAAATAAAAATAGCATTTAAAATGGTAAACTGTGGCATCTGAAAAATAAGAGTGTACACAATACTAAATGAAGTTCTCTGTAGCTAAGGTTTTTATAACAAATGGATAACCCCAAAATTCAAAAACTAACAAATCTCTGTTCTCCTCCCTTAAATAGCTGTTCTGATTTGCTTTCACAAGCCGTCTTTCTCTCTTCTTTTCAGTTGTCTTTTTCCTTCTTTTCTTTTTTATGACAACTTTTGAAGATGAAATCCTTTGGGAATTTTCTAGTTAAGAAATTTGTCTGTATTTAATCTGTACAAAAAAGAATATATATAAAACATTAAAGCATAAAAAACATCAGTGAAATGAACAGTAGTGAAATCACTACCTAGTTTTGTTTTTTGTGTTCGTTTTGTTTTTTAAAGTTGGCTCTAGCATGGAGCTAGTGCGGGGCTTGAACTCAGGACCATGAGATTGTTACCTGAGCTGAGATCAAGAGTCAGATGCTTAACCGACTGAGCCATTCCGGTGTCCCCCCACTGCCTAGGTTTTTAAAAAGAAACATCGGCAGTATCTTCAAGCCATCTCCTTGCCTTTTCTGAGTTAAATCACTATTCTGCGTTTATGTTCCTCTCCTTTTCTTGTTTTACCATATATGTGTTTTAAAAAAAGTAATGTTTCCCATCCAAGTACTAACCAGGCCCAACTTGCTTAGCTTCCGAGATCAGACGAGATCTCTTTTGTGACTAGCTCTTTTTGTTCACTCTGTTTTATAAGCTTTGTATGTTGCTACATCTAGCTGTTTGGTATTTGGTGAAATACCTTCAATGTATTTTGAGCCTTTAATTCCTTAAAACTTCTTCATTGTGCTTTTCAGATTACAAAAGTAATTTATGCTAGTAACTGAAAATTGAAACATCATAGAAATATAACAGAAACGTCCCTCATAATGTCATATATTACCCAGCTAGAGTTGTATCAATAGTAAACTTTTTCTGCATATGTTTAGTCATCTTCTTTCTCTTCCTATTCATTAAAAAGGCTTTTTCCAACTGCAGAGCTACTTTGCCACATTTCTAGTGAGAGGGGACACTGTTCTACTAGTATCCTCTGCCAATAGCACCTCCTGGAGTTCTGCATCATGATAATCTTTCTTAACAGTGTTTCTTGGAAATATAGATTTGTGGGTTAAATAGACCTGTTATCTTGTAGATGTACCATCACTTAACCAGTATTCCGTGGTGGACATTTTCAGTGATTCTCAGTTTTTTGTTTATTTGAAAGTAATATTTTAGTATCCAGCATTGAGTCACTATTCTTGCAGTTTTTTAGACATTGCTGCTGTTAGCATTTTTGCATATGTGCTTCTGAATACTTGGGTGAATATTTATGAAGTATAATGCCTCTGTGAAGTTATTGGGTCAAAGAGTATGAGTACTTAGTATTTTGATATTCAGCTTTTGTTTCAGCAGTTGCTTCAGAAGCCTTGTGCCCATTTATAATCCAGCAGTGTATGAATGTATTAATTTTTTCTATACCCTCATCAGCATTGGTCTTTTATTATTGGTCTTTTAATCTTTAAAGGATGAGAAATTAATAAGAATCAACATCTTTTCATATTCTTAAATTCCTGATTATTAGGAAATACTCATTAAGCTTTTGGGTACAGTTGAACAGGTTTAAAGTGATGTACAACTAATGGAAAGCCATTAAAATAAAACCTCACTTCTAAGGAGTTTGGATAAATTCAGACACTGTACACATTGTTTTTATTAACCCAGTTAACGAGTATATAATGAGGATTTAATTTGGGTATGGTCATGTAGTCTAATTGTGGAGAAGCCAGAAGTATAAGATGGCCATTAGGAAGCTTGTTACCTAGTTGGGGAGGTAGTGTTAACATGAGAGCAAGAAGCAATGAGGTATGTGCCTGTATGATGAAGAATTATTAGTTGTGTATCTGAAACTCACATATTTTATCAGCCTCAGGAATGGGGAAGTCAGTCAAGACTTCTTGGAGTAGGAGTGAGACTTGAAGGAGCTTTGAAGTATGAATTTGTCTACTTTGAATTAATGGCATTTATAGGAGAGGAAACACCAAGAAAGGGGAGAACGGTGAGTAGTCACAGGAGTAGAAATGAAAGTGGCATAGTTATGAGACCTGACTGAGGAAGCTGTTTTGAATAGAGAGTAAGACTTGGGGAGACACTGGAAATGTAGGTGTGCTAGGGAAG